GTTCTACCTAACTTATCTTCCAGCAAGTTTAGTGTTTCTGTTTTAATATTTAGATCTTTAATCCACTTTGATTTTAGTTTAGTGCTTGGTGAAAGATAGGGGTCTAGTCTTAATCTTTGGCAGGTTGAAATCCAGTTTTTCCAACACCATTTATTAAAGAGGCTATCTTTCCTCCAGTGAAGATGGTTGGCCCCTTTGTCAAAGTGAGGTAGCTGGGTATGTCTGGAGTTATTTCTGCCTCTTCTAATCTATTCCACTGATCTTCTATTCCACTGATCTTTGCCAGTACCATGCCTTTTTTTTTTTAGTCACAGTGGCTTTGTAGTACAGTTTCAACTTGGGAATTGTGATACCCTTGCCATGACCTTGTTGCCTAGAATTGCTTTTGCTATTCTAGGTCTCTTCTGGTTCCAGATGAACTTTTGGATTGTTTTCTCTAGTTCTATGACATATACTGTTGGGATTTCAATCGTGATTGCATTGAATCTGAATAGCAGTTTTGGAAGTATGGCCATTTTCACTATATTGGTTCTTCCTATCCCAGAACAAGGGATGTCTCTTATATCCTCTTCTATCTCTTTTTTTTTAGAGTGCTGTACTTCTCAATGTAGAGGTCTTTTGCTTCCTTCATTAGATTGATTCCTAGATATTTCATTTTTGGGAGTGCTATTGTGAAAGGGATTGTTTCCCTAATTTCTCTGTGAGTCTGTTATTTGTGTACAAGAAGGTTATCGATTTTTAAGTGTTTACCTTGTATCCAGCTACTCCAGTGAATCTCACAATTAAGTCTAGAAAACTTTTGGTAGAGTTTTTTTGGGTCTTCTATGTACAGTATCATATCATCAGCAAATAATATCAGTTTAATTTCTTCTCTTCCTATCTTTATTCCTTTTATTTCTTTCTCTTGTCTAATTGCTGTGGCTAATGTTTCCAAAACTATATTGAACAAGAGTGGTGATATTGGACATCCTTGTCTTGTTCCTGATTTTAGCATGAAGGTTTTCAGGTTTTGACCATTTAGTATGATGTTGGCTGTTGGTTTTTCATAGATAGCCTTTTTCAAGTTGAGATAAAGACCATCTATTCCAATTTTCTGCATGGTTTTTATCATGAATGGTTGTTGGATTTTGTCAAATGCCTTTTCTGCATCTATTGAGATAATCA